GATAAATATCTTGGGGGGCACCCCTAATTAGAATTCCTAAGAATCTCCATTCTCTTGTTTGCCCAAGTTGCAGACAGAGGCCAGGCACGGATGGAAGGCATTGCACACCAAATTTAGTTGGGCCCAGCAGGCGTGGAGGCCAGGGCTGCACAATAATAACACAATGGAGGGATTGCGTGCCAGCGGTCTGACTGATGTGGTCTCACCCCAGAGGGAGAGTTTTCCAGAACTCTCCTTCCCGGATTCGCCATCAGTCAGAGGAGGGCCTAGAGCAACATCTACAGGCCAACAGTCCCCCGCTTTCCGGGAATGGACAGAGGGGATGTGGGAGTGGTGGTAAGGGATTCTTTCCTTCTGTAGATAATTTCCTGGCATCGTCCCCTGCTCTCTGATTGGTGGGGCGAAGAAGAGGAGGAACTTTCCAGCGGTGGGTGCCTGGGTTCCTGGAGCCATCTGACACGGATATTGGTTACAAAAGTCTGAGTTTTAGGGTCTGGAAGACTGAGGCTTTGGGGCTGGTTCTAAAAAGTGGCTCGCTCCCACCCTAAGAAATGTAGAAATTGTGGGCACAAACTCCTTAGAGGCGGAGGTGGAAAGTTGTCAGCAACTTCACAAGTCTTTTGCTTGCAGGTGGCGGTACCTGAAAGAAGACAGAATTCCGGGAGGCCTGGCGGGAAGCAGGGAAGGGGGTTGGCAGGAAGGAGAAAGGGCGGTGTCAGGCTTTTCTCCGCGATTATCCCGCAACTCACTCCACCTGGAGGCTCAGAGCGCCCAAAAGCAGGACAATTCCGAAGATACATAAGAGCAGAATCCTAGCGTTCCACAGATCGTGACTTCCTGCAAGGAAGCCAGGAGGCCGTGGATGACCTGCGGATCACACCAAGGAACCTAAGGGGTCTGAGGAGGAGGACAAGGAATAAGAACCTGGGAAGCAGCGCTTCCGGGGCCAACATGACGCCTCCTTGCCCTCACAGGTAGAGCAGTTGTACAGGATGGTGCTGCCCCCTGCAGGAGACAATAGGAGCAGCGCTGGCGAGCGAAGCCCGGGCCTCCACCCTTCCAACCACCCAACTTCAGGCTTATTACACTTTTCTTTTACTCACAACAGGCGGGAGCACAGAGAGCTGAAATGAAAGACAAAGGGTGGCTGACTTATTCAGTCACAATCCACTTGACTACAAATCCTAGGTACCCCCTTGATGCCTTCTCCATCAATACCTTCCCTGGTGTACTCGGGGATCTTGGTCTTCTGAAGCCATTGCCAATATGAAGGAAGTGAGGAGCTGGACCTTTTTTTCTCTGGAGAGGCACAGCACAGCTATATTGCCCTAGGCCTCAGCAGTGAAGCCTTCCATGCCCCTACCCAGATCAGCTGGTCTCCACCTGCCCCCACCCCCAGTCCTTGCTTGGATCCTCCTAGGTTCCAAGGTATCGTTTCCCTCTGACCTCACCCATGACCCTCAGGACTCTGTGAGTCTTCTCTGTGATTTTGTTCATGGTCACCTCATCTGTGGAGATAGGCAAGAATAAGCTAGTCTCTCAGTTGGTGCTGGGTTTTTGTGTTTCCTATTTCTTAGGACAGAGTTCTTCCAAAGGGAGAGGCTATTGGACTGAAGCAATGGCTGAGGGGACCCAGTTAGGAACTCCCGGCCAGCCCTTTAGGATAGACAGGAGACTATTGCAGGACTAACCGCAATAGGTTAGGTTGTATTACCTAAGGCAAAGGCTGAGAAATCCTGGGAAGCCCATTCCTTCCACTGCATCTCCATCTGGCTACTGAGCTGAGCCAGGCGGGTCGGCAAGGCATGAGTTGGGAGGCGGCAAAAGATACAAGCCTTGGCAACAGCCAGGAAAACCCCAACTAGTGCCAGTACCCACATGAGGCCTGCTAGAGGATACTGGGAGCTGGGCCCCTTGGATCTGGTTAGACTGAGAATGCTGAGGGATTCTAGACCTTCATGTGGGAAGTTCTAGACTGGTCCAGAACAATGCCATTGTTTTACCCTTGACTCCGGTAGAGCTGCACTGGGGCCCCTGGAACCAGAGGCTAAAAGACATCTCTAGCAGGAGGTAGAGGAGGAGGAATCAGCGTTTCTGTTGCAAGGGGACAGTGGCCTTTACACATCTGTGGTTCTGAAAGCAGTTTTATTTTTCTTCTTATAAGTCACAGTGATCGATGAAGGACTCCTCCCAGTGAAGATGTGCACGTATGTCCCATCCACTCAGGGACCCAGAAATGCTATCCCTTCCCACATCCTCTCCACTCTCCCAACTCTGTCTCGTCTCTGCCCAGGACAGCCTTAGGCCTTACCCAGCTATTTCCTAGCAACAAGCTCATGGTTGTCTCAGCAACCAAGAGCTCCCAGAGGTCTCAGAGGCCCAGCTAAGCCCAGTGGCTTTTACCTATCATAGGAAAAGCCTGGTGACTCAAACTCAAACAAGCCCCTCCTGCCTACATAGTGGTGTGGGCATAAACACACACGCAAACACACACACACACACCCTATGATTAAACTAAATCTCAATCTGCTCTCACACATACCACAGAGATACCTGAGCCTAAAGAGTTGCTAAGCAACCTCAAACAGGCCTGGGCATGCCAAGATCACAGAAGGACCATCACATAAACACAAGAGTCAGCAACACTGATGGGAACCAAGATGACAGGGATCCAAGCATCAGTCAGATACATTGCCTGGCACAAACACACACTACAGAAACCCAGGCACAAAAAACTACTACCATCTTTCCCCATGTTCAGTCCCACCCACATACAAAACCCTCTAAAACACTTGCAATCCCAGAAGGGTGCTCTAATCCCATGCTGATGGGGATTCTCCTAGCTCCCTTTTGTCAACCTAGGATGAGGTGCCTATTTTCAATCTCCCACAGTAGGTGGCTTCGGGTATAGTAAATAAACCTCCCAGATGTCCTGGCCTCTTCATGGTCATGGTAGAATAAGGTGCCCAGCTCCAGGAGGGGAAGCCGAAGTCTAGGGAACAGATCACATTTGATAATTCAAAGTATGTCCTTCCCCCTAGTGCTCAAACCTCCAGAGTTCTGCTGAGTTTACCCAGGGCAGAGGTGCTTCCTTATTTTTCCACACCCCTAAACACAGAGGACCCATCCTCAAGCAAGAGCAGGCTCGAGAATTCACGGATGCTTTCCCAGGATAAGCCCCAGTGTAGATCGTCTGGACCACTCTTGAGTCCTGGGAATCGGGACAGCTCGATTTGGGAATCCCAGAGTCCATCTAGGCTCCAGTCAGGTGGGATCCCTGCCTCTCATAGCTCCCACACCAGAACTAGAGTCTTCGGGAGAGCCATCAGCCCCTTGGCTGACGCAGCAGCATTCTTTCTCTTCTACACAGTCAAGTGAAGGGTAGCATTCTCAGTGGCGGACAAAGCGCAAAGATCTAGAGTTCAGCAGGTCTTCAGGGTCTGGGAAGACAGAGTCCAGGCGGAAGCCATGTTCCAGAGCCACCCGCAGGACCTCCTCCAGGAAGGTAGGCGCGTTTGCCACCTCTCTCCGATCTTCCGGCCCCCCAGTCCACAGCGGTTGCAGCCCCAGTCTTTCATACTCCACTTCTGGGAGTTCCCGGGGGCGGGAGGCCCACTCTAGACGAAAATGTGGACCTCCCTCTGCCCTGTCCCCACTGGCCACACCAAATCGGCTGCGCATGGCACCCAGACACTCAGGGTCGGTACAGAAGAGGTTGGCTCGGAAGGTGTCCACCTGGACAGAGCTCAGCTCATAGTGGTGTGGGCCCCTTCGAGCAGAGAAGTGCACCAGGCGGGGGTTGACATCTACATCTGCATGGAGCAGGGCAGCTCTGGGTGTAGGGGTACCCCGAGAAGCTTCCAGTTCCCGAAGGGCATCCAGGAGGGGCCGGATCTGGTAGAAGTCAGCCTCTGCCTTAAGAAGTGCAGTTTCTCCATACCCACGGGGCAGGTCCAGACGGCCGAGCCTCAGGAAATTGAGGATATGCCGGAAAGCCTTGCCATCTCTGTCGATGAAGTAGTGGCCATCTCCTTGCGGGTTGAGACTGGCTGGGATAAGGGTGTCAGCCCTAAACATGGCCCCCAGCATGGAGTCTGGGAAGCGTGTCAGGGTCTCCAATGTGGTGGAATATAGTGTTCCCCCCACATTTAGGGTCACGGGGCCCCCAAAAGAAGGGGGTGAAGAGGACACAGGAGGGGGGGAAATTTTGGGAACTGTAGGAGACAAGCAAGGAGAAGGAAAAGGCAGTGTCTCCTAGTTTTGGGAAGAAATGGGTGGTAACGTTCAGACTCCCTATGTTGGAGGCAGAGGTTGGAGAACAAGACAGCAAAGTTTGTAGCTCACCCTAGCTACCTTGGTGGCGGTTGGGGGCTTCAGGACACAGAAGTCCCCGAAAGGATGAAAGACCCGATGAAAAGAAGGCAGCCAGACAGGGTCCGGGAGCTTTTGGTCCAGACGATTCTGATTCTGCGTGGTCAGCGATTCCCTTCTGTGTTCTTCAGACAGTGGGTTTCCGGAATTCAACCAGCAGGTGACGGTGGCGAGCACCGGCCGGACTCTGAAGGGTTCAGCTTCTGAGTTTCTTAGTAGATAGTTTTTGCAGTAGGCGAGTTCACGCCGGGTTCCTACGACCTGCCCAGAGGCCCGGCCAGGCTTTGGGGCACGGGTCCCAGCAGATGGAGGCGCAACTAATGGGAGCCGGTGACGAGCCGTTCTGTATGGATGGAGAGAGACGATGCTCTCGCAGTCAGAGCATCGAGTCCCAGGACTTTTTTGGCAACAGCGGGAGTCTCGGGACTCGGGCGTTACCGCCTTCCTGGGTTGTCGCAGCAGCAGCTGAGGTCCTCTCCACCCCCAGGAAGTGGTCTAAGGGCAGCGGTCAGTGGCCCTTTAAGCGACAGCCCCGCCCCTTAGCGCCCCGCCCTCCACCCCCATGGGCTGGCTGGGCGCTGCTGGGGGTGGGAGCGGGGACCCGCCGACGGGAGAGACGGGGCGGACAGGCTGGACCTGCCGACGCGAGCGGGGGTGGGATGATTCACAGGCTTCACTACGGATGTGGCCGCGACGGTCCCGCGTTCCCTGCAGGTGTGCATGACCTCACTAGTACAACTTGGTCCGGGCAGGAGTCTCAATCCCTCCATTCTGAGAAAACCCAGGCCTCGGGGTTGGATCCCGGTCGGGAACTCCCGATGGGGCGGGTGCTGAGCCATCGAATTCCGGGGATGCTTTTGGGTCACCCCGGCGTGCCCAGGTCCCCACGCGGGTAGCTTCCCTTGTCCTCTGAGCTCGAAAGCTCACCCTCACCCTCCACCAAGCCACTGGGTGCTAATCAGCCTCCCCCTTTATTGGAGAAATCCTAACCTTTTGAGAAGTCCTGCACCCAACACCCTGCTGGGCCCCCAGGTGGCGCACAGTAAATGAACTGTGAGAGAAAAAGCAAAGCACAAAGACTTTAATGGAGATCAGGCCACGACAAAGTGGGTTGGGGCCTGGAATCAAAGAGTATGGAGGTCATGACTGCGACGGCTCAGTTTCTCCGGGTCGTCCGATGCCATGAGGGAGAAGTCTCGGAAGATGTCGAGATATGTCTCATCCCCTGAGGAGGACAGAGAGAAGGCTGGACAGCTGGCCTACTACGAAAAGCATCACCGGGCAGTAGGGTGGGTCTGACGGGGCAAGCTCTTGATGTGTGGGTGCATCGTAAGCGCAGCCTCGCGCCTTTCCCTTCCGTTGTTCCGAGGGCCAGGCACGTTTGTGCGCCCAAAACATGTTTGTTGAATAAACAATGGCATTAATGCAGCTGGACAGTAAGGGGACAAGTAAGCAAGGGGCCAGGATTTGGTGTGGACCGGAGTCCAGATTTACTTTACCTGCCTGGCCCTGGGCCGCTTCGGCCTCCCTCATCTTTGCCAATCTTAGCCTGAAGGGTGGGAAATAAGGAATAAAAGACTTTGCACTCTTCCTCCCCATCCCTTGAGCTACATCACTGGGTAAAAATTCCTCCCTGGTGACTACTGCTTTAAAAAGCAAACACGTGAACTTTTCTGTAATGTTGATGTCCGAATACTGGCTCCCAAGATGAACTCCCATTACTTCACCCCGCTCCACACCCCACCACCCACAGAGAGCTTTACTTCACCGATACCCAGGCTTCACCTTCCAGGTCTGGTTTTGGCATTAGTCCCACCCCAAAGATGAACAGACTGTCAAGCACTAGCCCGACCCTCTGGCATTCTCACAGCGTTACGATGTCAGCGTTCGCTGTCTCCATTGCAATGGTCAGAGGGTCCCGGCCTTCTGTGTCTCGAGCACTCAGATCTGCACCCCGTTTCAGGAACAGGCAAGCAAGCCTGCAGAGGACAGGCAAACCCAGCTGCAGCAGCCTTCCGCCAGTTTCATTCCCAGGAACCCTCCTCCCCACGGTGGCAGCTGCACTGCTTGCTACCCTGGGTGGCCAAGAATGGTGGCATGGTGGAGAGGGCCCCGGCCAGCACTGTCTGCTTGGTTCACGTTTGCCCCATTCTGGAGGAGAAACTCACAGGCCCGAAGAGAAGTCTGCATGGGGAGATCAAGGAGAGGATGACATTTTCAGAAGTGGATTTCTAGACATTTTAGGGGTGTCGTAGTTAAGACGATGGGAGTGTGGGATATGGTATCAGGGTACAACTAGCTATCGGGTTTGGCTGTCACTCTTTACAAGTTCATGCATTAAATCTATCCTGCACTCTGACGAGGCTTGCTAGCCCTCTTTCTTAAAGATGTTTTCTTATGAGTATAAATATTTTGCCTGCATGACTGGGTGAGGAGGAGGCAAGTAAGTGAGGAGGCAAGGAGAGGCTGTTGGGTCTCCTGACACTGGAGTTATAGCTATGAGCTGCCTTATGGACACTGGGAACTGAATCCCAGTCCTCAGCAGGTGCAGCATACGCTGATCCATCTCTCTGGCCTCCTCCTATTCCTAGTTTACTGGTGAGGAGACTAAGATCCATATAGACTGACAATTTGATTAAGATCTCATGCAAGTGGTGGCTCCAAGATTGATTCACCACCTCCAAATCACACTCTTAACACCCAGTCTATGGGATTTCCCTATGGAATGGAGAGCCAGGAGGAGCTTTAGGGTTGAGTAGGGGAGGTCAGCATGGTCCTCACAGCAGCTGTGGCCCGGATCAGAGGTGTGGCATTCCCCCGACCCACATTGACCCAGTTGACATCAGCTCCATGGGCCAGGGCATCAGCCATGGTAGGAAGAGATGGAGGATGTCCAGCAGCTTGGAACAGCAGGGCCCCAGGGTGAAGGCTTCCCAGGTCATCAGATGGGGACTCTGTTAAGGAAAATCGGTCCTTAACAGAGTCTGGGTCTGGGGAGAAATCTTCAGCACAGTCCCCAGATGCTGCAAGGGGGTAAGTCACGTCTGAACTGTGGGGAGGCCCTTGTGACTCAGGGCTGTGGTGAGAGATGGGAATGGTGTGTGTGTGTGCATACGTGTCGGGATCTATGTGTGCAGGGCCCTGGGTGTGGAGGAGACGGTATCACTCACCTCAGCCTGTCCAACCACCCAGACTGGCTGGATGCCCAAGGCAAACTGTCTGACAGACTCAGCTCTTGCCTCCTCTGCCTGGGTCAGGCTCACCCTCCTTTTCAGGCCTTTGGAGATGCCAAGCTCAACTCTCCTGCTTCTTCTCATAGTGGAGATTTACCCCCTACCTCCTTTTTTTGGTTTTTCAAGACAGGGTTTCTCTGTGTAGTCCTGGTTGTCCTGAAACTTGCTTTGTAGACCAAGTTGGCCTCAAACTCACAGAGATCCACCTGCCTCCTGAGTGCTGGGATTAAAGGTGTGCGCCACCACCGCCCAACAGAGACCCCTTTTGTGGCTTTTCTTGACATATCCCACTCAACACTATTCTTCCTGCTCAATGCCACACCCTACTGTAACCCCCCCTAAAACTATAGTCTGATTCTCCCAACTTTCTCCAGGGGATGTCCTGGACCTCATATTCTGCCTCCCTTTAGGACCTGGCCCACTACCGAGCAGACAGCAATGAGACAAACACTCTCTACCTGACTTGGATCTGACAATCCCCAGCTGCGGTCTGATAGAAGGCTTTGGGGGCACAGGAGGATGTCCTCTTGGGGGCCCCCTGCCACCTCTTCGCCCTCGAATTTCAGGAAGCTTAGTCAGGAACTTTTTCTCCACATACTTGGCATGAATCCAGGCCTCTTTTTCCTGCCTGGGAGTTGGGAAGAGATAGCCTTAGGTCCCTCATCCTGCCACACACCCCACATTGGGGGGAGCCCTGGGCACCTTCACCCCAACCTTACCTGGAGCAGCTGGGCCCTGGCTTCTTCACCGCCATGGCCTCCACCCGGGCTTCGTAGATCTGGTTGATGACGACATTTCCCAGCTCGCACATAAGCTTCAAGAGGCCCAGAAGAGGCCAAGAGAAAGAGGCAGAGTAATGGGGTGAGCACCTGAGCTCTCAGGACTCCTCAGTCCTTTGTCTCTACAATAGCCCAAGTTACCTTCACTAGTTCTGGTTCCCAGGAGTCAAGGGTCAGAGATCGGACTTTGGAGAAATGAACACCAAGGCTCCTAGAAGGCCAGAGGGAGAGTCATGCCCTGTATGGACAGTGGCCTGGGGAAGCTGTTGCTACTGTAAAGACTCAGGCCAGGCTTGTGTGGAGGCTGTACAGAGGAGCAGGGCTAGGAGGCAGGGCAACAAAGGCCATATATCCTTGACCAGGCTCTAGCATGATCATCACCCCTCCCTCTAACTTCTGTTTCATTTTAAGTCTTTGTGCTCTCTAGCCCCTTATCCCCTCCCTCCTCTCCCCCCCCCTCTCTTCCATTTAGCCCCTTACTTTTCTCATGGTACTTTGGTCTGGAACACTCTTTGTATGCCATCTCCCTTCCCTCTGTGTATACTTCAGAATTGCGGTAAGGCCTTAAAAACTTGGTAGGACCTCACAACTTTTCTCTTTGGGCTCTGTTGGCCATCCCACCTTCAGCAACCTAACCCATGCTTCCTCTGATCAAGACAATAAATTCTCTGGACTTGGCAGTGGTGGCATATGCCTTTAATCCCAGCAGAGGAGGAGCAGCAGACAGATCTCTCTGAGTTTGAAGCCAGCCTGGTAACAGGACTACACAGAGAAGAAACCCTGTCTCGAAAAACAAAACAAAAATAGCAATAAATTCCCTAGGAGTCCCTAAGCCTGTCCATAACTAATTTGAATGTGCATTTTGTGCAGCAAGATTGGTGACCAGAGACAGAGAAGAAGAATATAAGAAAAAACAAGGTAGGGTGCATGAGAGGGGCCTTGTGATGGGCCATATTGCAGTAGAAAGCAGGGCTTATGTTTGGGGGTCTTAGGGAATGACCTGTGGATGCCGGAACACTGAATGCAGAGAGTGACACCAAGGTTGATACTGGCCCACTCTGGGGCTGGTTCCCTGCAGTCACAGCACTGGGCATTTCCTTCTACACTTTGTACCTGGGCTGCCACCTGCCCAACTCCCCCAGGTTCCCTTCCTCTGGCTGCCCCGCCAGAGCCCAGAGTAGCAGCAGAGCCCAGGGCAAGGTATCCCGAGACCTGAGAGAAACAGGGGAAGAAAGGGTTAGCAAGGAGCCAAAGGAGAGAGTGCTCCATCTCCCAGGGCAACAGGGCTCCCACTGCCCATATTAAGATACCTGGCCTGGCCCTCGAGAGCTGTTATCAAGGTGAGCCTGGCTGAAGGCTGAGGCGATGCTGCTCTGAACAGCATTGATCCACAGCTGCAGGAGGCGCTCAGAGTCAGCCTGGAGGAAGCAGGACCTGAAGGTGGTGGGTGGCAGGGGTGGACGTGAGAGTAACAGAGTGGCAGTCTGAAGCCAGAGAGCCAAAAAGCAAAATGGGCAAACTGACATCCAGCTGTTGCCGAACTGGTTATATAGATTTTTAAAAAATTTTTACTTATTTCGTTATTTCTACAGCAGATTGGACCCAAGGCCTTGTACATTTTAGGCAAGCACTCTGTCTCTAGGCTACAGCCAATCCATTTTTATTTTACTTTGAGATAGAGTCTGGTAAATTGCTCAGATGGACTTCAAACTTGCCAGTAGACCAAGTAGGCCTTGAACTTTTAAAAAAGGCATATTTAAGTGTGCATATGTTTGTATGTACATACATATGCATAGTACATTATGGAGTTAGTTATCTCTTTCCACCACGTGGGTCCTGGGGATTGAACTCAGGTTATCAAACTTGGCAGCAGTGCTAAGCATCTCACTGGCCTGTTTATTCTTGAAGCAGAAACAGGCTATGTTTTTCAAACTTAATATTCTCCTCTGGTATTACTGGTGTGTGCCACCATACCTGGTTATCAGCTATATTGAAATCCAGGTGGTCCCTGATTTATGATCGTTTGATTTAATATTTGTCAATATTAATGCACAAAGTTGTATTGATACAGTCATTTTGATTCTCAGTAGAGTATTCAAGAACATTTTATTGTAAAACAGGCTTGTAACTGTAGGCTAACAGGGTTCTAGCATGTTTAAAGTAGGCTGAGTCTACAGTAGATTTTTCAATATCTTTCAAATGACAATGAATTTTATAATTCCCATCATAAGTAGAGTACCTGTACTTCTGTAACAATTGGCAGTATCCTCCAAAATATCACCTACCACCAGCCCTGGAACTACACAGGGAGCCTCATTTTGGTGGCCCTGCCTTTTTGGTTTGTAAATATTCAGACATATTAGAATATTGCCCCCAAGGGACTGTACTCACTTGCTGGTAGACACCACTTCAAAACAGAAACGCCTTTCTGAGTCTGGGCAGAGCTTCACCGTACAGAGACGAAGGTCGTCCACTACCACAGTCACAGGGTCCTGGCAGAAAGTGACAAGGGGGCCAAGATCCAGCATAGTAAGTAAGGGCTGAGTCTAGAGTCCAGGCACCCAGTACCTACCTTATATTTCTTCTGGTAGACCAGTTGGTTGTTCTGAATGGTGAACCAGCGTCTGGAGCAGACAGAAGTGGTTAAGTATGTGGGCAACCTGGGAACAAGCTTGGGAATGGATAGAAGAAAAACTGTGCTCTTTGCCCCCTAAGCAGCTTGCTGAGAGGTGTGGACTAGCAGTCCTATTCCAGAGAATGGTGGGAAGTTGTGCAGAATGGGACATGGGAAGGGTGTTCTTCACACCTTGAACAACCCAGATTGAACATATTAATGAAGCCTACTTTCCAGCAGATGGCAGTAAGGCTAGCCTTCAAAACTCCCGAGCCTCCTGCCTCCACCTCAAAGGTGAGGCTCACAGGCATATATGCCACCACACCCAGCTTTCTTCCTTTTCTTCCTTACTTTTTTTTTTTAACTAAAATAAGTTTATTGTTGCAATTATTTTTTTCTAGTTGTGGCCAATGTTAAAGGAGATCTAAAGGTGGTAAAAACTTCTAACAGTGGGTGTGACTTCTGGATGTGTCATGAGGGTGTTGGAATCACTCCCTCTTCTACAATTATTTGCTTGAGATAGGATCTTGCCATGTAACCCAGGCTGGCCTAGAAACTCCTTCTGTTGTCCAGGCTGACCTCAACTTTGTAGTCTTCACACTTTAGACTACTGATTACTAGCATCACACCAGGCTTTTTGCTACAATTTTTGACAAATGAAACCAAGTTGGGGAAGGAGCTCCATTTTCTCATTTGTACCAAGGTCCCATATGGGCCGGTGGTAATTCTGGAAGATGAAGTAGTTGAATTAAGACATGTCACCTTTCTGTCTTAAACCCTGCAGGACTTCCCCATTTTCCTCAGAGTAATCCTCAAAGCACTCCAATGTCTGCAAAGCCCTGGCATGATCCCTGTGTCCATTAGCTCCTCCTCCCTCCCTCTGACCAAGTCCACAGCTCCAGTTTTAAACACAGAGAACTCAGGGCCTTCTGATTAATTCTTCCTTCTGTCTACAACTTCTTTCCCTCAGATACCTTGAAATCTTGACTCAAAAAGTTACTTTTTTGTTTTTTGAATCAGGGTTTCTCTATGTAGCCTTGGCTACCTTAGAGCTCACTCTGTAGACCAAGCTGGCCCTGAAATCACAGATCCTCTTGTCTCTGCCTCCTGAGTGCTGGAATTAAAGGCTTGAATCACCACCGCCCTGCAAAAGTTACTTTTTTATCCAGGCATGATATTATACACCTGTAATGCCAGCTTTTTGGAGGTGAAGGCAGGAAGGTCAGGAGTTCAAGGTCTTCCTTGGCTACATAGTAAATTTGAGAGATCAGCCTAGGATACATGAGATTGGTCTTTTTTAAAAAAATGGGTGTCAAAGTAGGCCTCACAATAAAGTAACAATTCTGTTGCCTATTGGTCTGCAGATAGAATTCCAATCCTCCTGCCTCCTCCCTTAAGTGCTAGGATGGCAGGCATGATCCACCAAGTCCAGTGCCTGTAGGGAGACACCCTAGCCCCGCCCAGGTAACCCGGACAGGTGTGCCTGGATACGCCAGTGAGGGCGGGGTGAAGGGAAGTCTGAGATGACATAGAAGGAGGTTCAAAAGGAGCGGGGCTCACGTGGAAAGCCCCTTCTCTCTAGCCACGCTAACTTGCTACCTGTGGGCTCCCTCTGGCTTGCGTTTTGGATTGGTGTTTACCTGAATAAAGAAGTCTTAGCCTCACGGACTACAGTTCATGTTTGAGTGCACGCGGCAACCAATCAACAAGCGCCTGACTTTTTTTCTTTCTCTTTTGTTTTTTGAGGCAGGGTTTCTCTGTGTAATAGCCCCAGCTATCTTAGAACTGGCTCTGTAGACCAGGCTGGCCTCGAACTCACAGAGATCTGCCTGCCTCTGCCTCCCGAGTGAGGCCAGCCCCTGACATTTTGTTTAGAATTGGGAACCCTGGACTGTGGGTGTAGCTCAGTGGTAAATTTCTTTTGTCTAGCAGGGTTGAAGCCCTGAGTTTAATCCTTAGCCCTTCAAAAAAAAATTGGAACTAAAATTTACCCTCCCTACCTACCTAGATCATCATGACCCTGGCTGTATTTTTTATAACATTATCATCCCCCCCTTTTTTTTTTACCCCCTTTTTTAAAAAACAGGGTTTTGTTTAGGAGCTCTGCCTGATCTCGAACTTCAAAGTCTTTCTGCCTTAGCTTCCATAGTGCTGAGATTACAGGTGTGTATCACCATACCTAACTCCTGGCATTATTCTTTTTCTTTTCTTTTTTTTTTTTTTTTTTTTTTTTTTTTTGAGATAAGGTCTCTGTGCATTCCTGGAACTTGCTATGTAGACCAGGCTGGCCTTGAACTCAAGAGCTCCATCTGCTTCTGCCTCCCCAGGGCTGGGATTAAAGGCAGGACAGCCTCCAAAGCCACAGAGAAACCCTGTCTCGAAAAACCAAAAAGAAAAAAAAAAAGATGTGTACCACAGGCATTTTATATTGCCTTCTAACATAGCATGCAGCTTATTTAGGTGTGTGTGTCTGTCTTTGCTGACTGAGGGTTACATCCTGATGTGCTTCATACACAGTAACCACCCGGCCAAGAATATCCAGTTGCATAAGTTTAGCTGAGTCAGTTGCCTTCTTACCTGCTCCAGGTCTTAAACGCATTGCTGGCCCGTTTGAAAAGATGTCCTTCCAGTACCAAGCCACTAGGCCCCTCCTTTAGGCTTGGCTCTGGCTCCTCACCACCCAGCTCCTGGGGCATGAGAGGATCAAAAACAATTGGGGCGGACAGAGACCAAAGTCGAGGTCTGTGTTGCTCCCATCCCGCAGGAGCACTTGCCTTCTGTTTCAGTAAGACGTGCCTCTGTTCCATGTCTCTCTTCTCTCTCGCCGAGTTCAAGACTAGGTCATGCAACTGGGCGTAGGAGGGACATCTCAGATGTCTGGGTTTGCCCCAACCAGGCAAGGAGAGTCATGTTCGCGTACCCTCGCCTCCCTGCACCGACTACCTAGGGTCCTTCACCTGGGCACCCAACTCCTTACGATACTGAGCCAGCCGGTTTAGCTCTTCATGGCCCTGCTGGAAGTAGGTAGCCTGGGCCTCTACCAAACGCAGCACCTGAGGGACAAGGTGGGCAGGGGGCAGAACTGAGGAGGGACACCCCTCTCCTTCCCTCTCCCCCCTGCTTTGTGAGCAGGTTCCTCTCCTCTTTGCTGCTTCTGATACTCACGAACTCCATGATGTCAAACTTCCTCTTATCCTCGATCACATTGACCTGAAAGTCCAAAAAGTGCAATGATATCAGTCGTGACATCATAGCACTTCCTCCCCGCCATCCTGGAGGATTGGTTGGTGTAGGCACCGACCTGCAGGGCATAATCCAATGCCCGACTCAAGTATCCAGCTCGGGCAGTCCTCAAAGCAGTCCCAGCCTCCTCTGCTTCTTGGACACGGCGCCTGGGGACCTCTGCATTGTGGGTAAGAGCAGCTTCCAGGTTCTCAGCCCCTCTCCAGAAATCTCTGCGAGCCTCTCGGAAACCCCGGAGACCTCTAGAGTTAGGGGAGGCAAAACAAAATCACACATTTACCCACCTGTCCTCAGGAGAGAAAAAAATCTCAGGACAACCCCCTCTCCCCCAATATCCTGTCAGCCTATGAGAGGGAAATCCTGGGGATCCTTGGGGTAGGAAGACTCTAAAGTCAGGCCACTTCCCACCCACCCCCATAGCTCTTCCTATTGGAGAGGCCTTGTGGTGATGGGAAGAGAGGTGGAGAGCTAGTTTCTGGGAAAAAGGCCCCCTTTCCCTCCCATCTCACTCCTTGACCAGAGTCTGAATTTGCTGCTGCAATGTGTGTTGAGTAGCATCCAGAAGCTCCTGTTGGAAGAAGTTGACAAGTGAGAGTTAGGGTCGTGGTCAACCCTGCCCACCCGTTCCATCCCTGCAGGCCCCACATCCCCACTCACAGCGTGGCTGTCCAGCTTGTGGTTTAGGCTCACAGTGAATTTTTCCAAACACTCCTAAGCAAGAAAAACCACAGAGAAAGTACCAGGTATGGGATATCAAGGTCCACCCAGCTCGAGGTCTTGTCTGCTGGACCCTTCTTGGATGACAGCCCCAGCTTTGCTCTGGCCCAGGCTCTGCAGACTCCAGGTCAGCCCCCTCTTCCACAGCATCTCCTTATCCCAGTACCCTGCCCCAGCAGAAACAGCCCTGGTTAGAATCATCACATACCGCCATCATGGGCTCTGGGGGACCCAGGCGAGCCAGGTCACAAATGCCAACTACGAAGGCACGGCTGGCAGAAAGGTAATGGTGCCCGCTTTCCAGGAGGCAGGAGCCCAGCTTGAGGAGCTGGGGAAGAATGAAGGACGAGAGGGAATAGTATCAATGACCAGCACTCTAGGTGATGCCTCCATTCTGCTCCACTTCTCCCCTGGCCCAAGGCCGTGTGACCCTTTCCCAGTCTCATCTACTGTCCCACCCAGCCCAATGCAGCTCCCCCCATTTCACCATCACAGCTGTAACGCCATCATCTCTGCTTCCCTAGCTTCCTTTTCCTGGGCCTGTTTCAAAATTTCTGCCTGTTCCTCCAAGCTTCTTCCCAAAGTCATGGTCATCTTTACTTCTCAGATACTTTTCCCTATCTAATCCTACCTGCCCTTCTGGGCCCTGTTTGAATGAGGGGCTCCCCCTAAAGCCCCATCCTCCTTCCTGCACTGTCGTGTTACTGGTACCCATTTCTCTGCCTGGTCAGGTTCAGTTCTACAGCCTTTGTTGTGTGTGTGTTGCGGGGGACATGTGTCTCATTCCTTGTAAATATTAACTAAGTCATCAAGGCCTCAGGATTAGGGCCAAGTAGGATGTTGGGGTGTTCAGTTGTTCATCTTTCAGTGCTTTTGTAATAATGGCCAGAGAGCTATAACTGATCTGGGAAGGGAAAGCTGAGCTAGAATCCCAGATCAGTCTCTTTATCCACAGAGTTATGGCTGCGTCACCCGGAAGGTGACACACTAGACTTTGGCCATGAGTTACCATGTTTTGAATGGAGCAAGTATCTGTAGAGTCCTTCAGCTTCACCCAGGGTGGTAAGAGGTCACAGGGAGGAGACTTTGTGAAGAAGTGGCAAGGTGCCAGAAGCCAGGCCCCATGTGTTTCTAGCCACATTTTTCTGGTGGCTTATGGATATTTCTGAGAAATGTAGCTTGGGTTGAAAGTGGCTAGCATGGTCAGCAGTGTTCAGGAAACTAACATCTAGTCATATCAATCCTGAACAAGGAGACAAAATGGCTGCTACAACTCACAGTTGTAGAACTCTAGTTCTCTTATGTATTCAAGCCCCTAAAACTGAACTAATAACTAGCTGGTCATGTGGCACAAGCCTTTAATCTCATTACTCAGGAGGCAAAGGCCAGCCTGGTCAACATAGCAAGTTCCAGGACAGCCAAGGCTACATAGAAGGACCCTGTCTAAAAAAGAAAAACAAAAAACAAAACAAAACAAAACAAAACAAAACAAAAAAAGCCTAAACCAATATTTAGTAGTACATCTATTTGACAGAATTGCAGTCAACAATAAAGAGGAACTATGAATGCACTCAACAACTTGCTGGGCCTTGGTGGTGCACGCCTTTAATCCCAGCACTCAGGAGGCAGAGGCAGGTGGATCTCTTCAAGTTTGAGGCCAGCCTGGTCTACAAAGCTAACCAGAGAAACCCTGTCTCAAAAACAACAACAACAAATTATCAACAACTTGAATGGACTTCAAACACATTGCTATTCCCAGTTTTTTTTTTAATTTTCTTTCTTTCTTTTTATTTTTTTGGTTTTTTGAGACAGGGTTTCTCTGTGTAGCTTTGGAGCCTATCCTGGCACTTGCTCTGGAGACCAGGCTGGCCTCAAACTCACGGAGATCCGCCTGCCTCTGCCCCCCCCAGTGCTGGGATTAAAGGCGTGTGTCACCAATGCCCGGCAGTTTTTTTAAATTTTCAATTTGAAATATTTTATGTACATGTACATGTTGGCATATGAGTGAGGACAGAGGGGTGTCAGATCCTTTGGAGCTGGAGTTTGTGAGCTGCCAGATGTGGGTGCTGGAACTTGAACTCAGGTCCTCTGAAAGAACAGTATGTGCTCTTAACCTCTGAAACATCACTCAACCCCCCCCCCTTTTTTTTTGAGACAGGGTCTGTCTGTGTAGCCATGCCTGTCCTAGAACTTGCTATGTAGACCAGGCTGGCCTCAAAATCACAGAGCTCTGCCAGCCTCAGCCACCTGAGTGCTGGGAAGGGCATGTACTATCACACTGCGCTTCCAGTTTTTTAGAAAAGCCAACTTCAGGCCAGTGAGATGGCTAAGCTGGTAAGGACACATGCTATGGAGGCCTGAAAACCAAAGTACAATTCTGAAGACCATGGTGGAGGAACAGAACTGACTCCCACAAATTGTTCACTGACTTCGCCACATACATTATAACGTGCACCTGCATGCACACACACACTAGATAGATAGATAGATAGATAGATAGATAGATAGATACTTGATAGACAGAGAGAGAGAGAGAGAGAGAAAGAGAGAGAGAGAGAGAGAGAGAGAGAGAGAGAGAGAGAGAGACCAGTATTCCTAAACAGGCCAGTCTCTTGAGGCCCAGCCTAGTCTACATTGAGAGAGTTCCAGGTCACCCAGGGCTACTTAGTATGGCCTTGCCTTAAAAAAGAAAAGTCCGCCGGGTGTTGGTGGTGCACGCCTTTAATTCCAGCACTCGGGAGGATAGGCTCCAAAGCTACACAGAGAAACCCTGTCTGGAAAAACCAAAAAAAAAAAAAAAAAAAAAAAAAAAAAAGAAAAAGAAAAAAGAAAAGTCCACCTCCTTTGAGATAGTATTTATTAGCCTGAAGCATCAAGTAGGCTAGACTTGTGGCCAGAAAGCCCCAATGATTCTCATCTCTACTTCCTCAATACTAGGATTATAAATACATGACATACATACATACATACATACATACAGTTTTATATAAGTGCTGGGGATCAAACTTGGGTCCTTATGTTTGCAAGGGAAGCGCTTTATTGACTGAGCCATCTCTCTTGGTCCCTGTAGACTTTATTGTTGCTTGTACTGTGGCGATGCTAATCTTGAGGTTTGACAATGAGGAAAAACTGCACTAAATGTTATCACTGGGGGAAGCTGATAGGGACATGGCCTCTCTTTGCAATTGCTGCAAGTGTATTATTAACTTGAATTTAAAAATTCAATTAAAAACATTTGTGGGGCTGGAGAGATGGCTCAGTGGTTGAGACTACTGGATGCTCTTGCAAAGAATCCAGGTTCAATTCCCAGCACCCACATGATAGCTTACAACAATTTTTAACTCCAATTTCAGGGGATCAAATGCCCTCTTCTAGCCTCTGCAGGCACTGGCATGGACACGATGCATAGACATATACCCAGGCCAAAAAAAAATCAATTTTATATATATATACACATATATATATGTATGTATGTATATATATATAATTTTTGAAAGTTTAAGAATTATTTGCACTGGTGATATAGCTACTGGTAGAGTGAGGCCTGCCTAACATACAGGAAGATGGATTCCATATCCAAGAGGGAAGTAGAGGTCAGAGGATTGGGAATTGAAGATCATGTTCAACTACAGGGTAAATTGGTAAATTCTCAAAGCCAGCCTAGACTACCTGTGACCCTATGTCAAAAAAAAAAAAAAAAAAGGTAGACCAGGCTGCCCTTGAACTCACAGGCTGCCCTTGAACTCATAGAGATCTGTCTGTTTCTATTTCACCAATGCTAGAATTAAAGGTGTGTGTGTGTGTGTGTGTGTGTGTGTGTGATTTGTGTGTCACATGTGTACAGTACCTGAGGCCAGAAGAGTGAATCAGATCTTCTGGAACTACAGATAATCATGAGGCACCCAACCTGAGGGCTAAGAAATGAATGGGTCTTTCCTTTGGAAGAGTAGCAAGGACCAGTGAGATGTCTCTCTTGTCCTCAGCCTTCCTCTCAAGGACATGAGGAAGGCTTGTGACTTGCTTCAAGCTGGCAGATTATGGCAAAGGCAATGGGATGGCTACACTATGTAACCCCTTGCTAACACACACAAAAATGCCTTTCTTCCTGGCAACAAGCAATCATGCTAGGATATGTCTGTGGAGAGGATAAGCCTCATGGCAGGGAACTGTGGGTAACATCTAGAAATCAGGCCCCAGTCCTATAATAGCCATGAAATATCACTAAAAATTGTCAACAACCACATGACCTTGCAAGAAAGTCCCCATCTTCAGATGAGACCATAACTTTGGTTGAGACCCTGACTGCTGTTCAGGTGACCCAGAGCCAAGTCATAGCTGAGTTAGTGATCAGAGTCTTGGCCCACAGAAATTAGGGAATGTGTATTGTTGAGCTACTGAATACATCAAACATCAATAGAAAACTCACAGAGCAAGTAAATACATGTTAGATAAACACACTAGAGAAAGCAGAGTCAGGGACTGGAGCTTATATAAACACACACCAATGAGTGTGTCTTATTTTAAAGATCCTAAACTTAAAGGCACAGGATTTTTAAAAATCTCTGTAGACCCCCTCTCTACCTTTTAAAAAGAGAGACCTCACTCTGTAGTTTGCCCAGGCTGTCACACACTCATGTGATCCTCCTCCCTGGGCTAGGATTGCAATTATGAGCCAGCATGCCCAAGCAGAGTTAACTTTCTTTGACTCTGTAACTCATTCCCAGTGTCCTATTGTCTCCTGGGCCCACCCCTTTTATTTTCATCCAATCTTGGATCTTTTCTCCATGACTTGGTCACCTTTTCTAGGCGAGTCTCCAATTCTGACACTTCAGTTTCCACCAGTTCAATTGAGGCTCTGGGAAAGGAGGGACAGGTCATGAGGACAGAGCTTATATCCATTGGGGCCTCTGTTTCTTATCAAGTGGGGGGTTGGAGTCATGGGGTGATGGGTACAGCAGACAAATGAGAATATCCAACCACCCCCATGCCAGTTATTGCTCATATGCTACTGTGCACATTGTAAGCTTCAATAACTCAAACCAGAGCAGGAAGTATCTGGAGGGTGGATGTGGCCAGGGCAGGAAGTTGCTAACCGCTCCAGGGCAGGTGTTGGGGGAGGGGTTCCAGTGAGAAGGAAGAAGGAATGCCTGCCTGTTCTAAAGGCCAGATGATACAGACAGGCAGAGTATGACAACTTTGGAGAGCATGGAGGGTTTTTTTGTTTTTTGTTTGTAATTTGTTTTTAAAGGGTTTCACTCTGTAGCCCAGGTTAGTCTGGAACTCACAGTAGTTTTCCCGCCTCAGCCTCCCAAGTGCTGGGATTACAGGCGTGAGGCATAAGGCCTGGGTTGAATGGCAGATACACCATTTCCTACCAGTTCCCTCTTGTCTTTTTGTGGCCTAGGCTCTGAGGGAGGTCCAGCCTGGGGAATGTTATGTTTGTCAGGGCATGTGGAACCTTCCTTCCCCTCCTTAGCCTCCTGGACCTGCACACACTTACCGGAAGCGGGGTGAGTCCTTGAGACATTCTTCAAAATCTAGCTTGACCGTCATCTCAGATGACCTGCTTTGGCCCAGAGACCCTGGAAGCCAGGCAGCTGGGGATGTAGGTAGATGCACTCCCCACCCCCAGGAGGGGTGTTGGTGAGGAAGAGGAGGTTCTCTGGTAGGTAGGGCCTGGGTCTGCAATTCTTTCCCCAAAGGGAAAGGGATGACCCAGGAGGAGCTCTCACCCCACTACTTCTAGGCAGCTCTGGGAGGGGCAGGGGTGGGGCCTAGGTGGAGGGGGTGCTGAGATCAGAGAAACCACAGCCCCGCCCCCAGAGACTACTGTCACTGTCCTTCTGGGACCCTGGTCTTTCTCTGCTGCTTTCTCCATTGGTGAATAAATCTTTTGAGAGGAGGCATGATAATCTAGAGTCAAATGATGTCTTTGTCACTTAAGAATTTGTGTGATTAGTAGAACATAGTGACACATGGCTTTAATTACAGCAGAGGCAGGCAGATCTCTGTGAGGTGAAGGCCAGTGTGGTCTACATAGCAGGTTACAGGTCAACCAGGGCTATGTAGTGAGACCCTGTCTAGCAAAAAACAATAAAATAATAATAATAATAATAATAATAATAATAAAGTTGTATGACCAAGAACAAGTTCTCTGACCCTTCAGCAGTTACCTCATCTGAGAGATAACCTTGTTACAAGGCCAGTAATCCCAGTACTTGGTAAATTATGGTAAATTGTGTGTGTGTGTGGGGGGTTGTTTGTTGACTTTCAAGACAGGGTTTCTTTGTGTAGCCTTTGGCTGTCTCTGTACAGCAGGATGGCCTGGAACTCACAGAGATCCACCTGCTTCTGCCTCCCGTGGTGAATTAATTGTATCAGACATTGCCATCCTGTTGCAAGCTTTAGCCTTTTCAAGATCCTAGGTTTTGCCAGGCAGCAGTGGCCCACCTTTGATGCCAGCACTTGGGAGGCAGAGGCCAGTGGAGCTCTGTGAATATGAAGCAAGCCTGATCTACAGCAGCCAGGGCTCCAGAGAAAAACCTTGTATCAAAAAAAAAAAAAAAAAAAAAAAAAAAAAAAAAAAAACAAAACAAAATCCTAGCTTTTTCCTAGGTTTTAGGGCCAGCAAGGTGGCTCACTAAGTAAAAGTGCTTGCCACACAGCAAGCCTGACAACTTGAGTTTGATCTCCAGAAGCCACAGTAGAATTGATTCTGCTAAGTCCCTCTGACCTCTGACTTCCACTGGTTCACCACCTTAAATGAATAAACTAATAGCGAACATTTTAAAACCTTAGGTTTTATGTGTTGAAACAGGATCTTATTACGTAGACCAAATGGTCCTCAAATTTGTGATTTTTCTGCCTTCACCCCTAAGTGCTCAATCCTGAGTCCAGTACCTTAGTTTGCTTCAGTTTCCTTCTCTTGGTCTGCTTACATGATTTATTATGCACAGACCCCCCCCACACACACACACCCATACACACACACACAACTCTCCCAGTCCTTGATAGAGCACGCCCAGTCTGGGCATTCAATTCCCAGGCACGAAGATTCCTGATGTTCTCTTTATTGTCCACTATTAGAGTGGTAAGGGCAGGGAAGGCTGCCCTCACCCCATCCTCAGCTGGCTACATTTTCCATGGCCTAGGTTCTTTCTCCCCAGTCCACTGGAGCCGAAAGGGTTCATCTAGAGAAAGAGGAAGTTGGGCTTTCTTGCAGCAGGGGTAAGCTCTTGTCCATGTGACCCTCCAATCTCTAGAACCTACTCACTTGCCGGTCAGTGGTGGCACACACCTTTAATCCCAGCACTCGGGAGACAGAGGCAGGTGGATCTCTGTGAGTTTGAGACTAGCCTGGTCTCCAGAGAGTCCCAGGACAGCCTCCAAAGAGAAACCCTGTCTCGGGGGGAAAAAAAAAACAAAACCTACCCACTCAACCCCAGTGCCTCCTTGGTCAGTGCAAGTACCCCTTGCCTCTGCCCAGGCTCACATCTGCACCCATTCCAGCTTGGAGGGTTCTGGTTACTTCCATGTTCCTTTTCTGAGCTCCCTGGGCTTCGACATCTCAGCCCCTTAGCCCAACAGTTGGACACAACCTGAGACTCATTGCCTCTGGAGAACAGGGTACTAACGAGAGAGGGGTGGGGTGGCAGAGAGGAGTCATGGGGGAGGCCTTAGTGGCTGATGCTAGGCTGGAGGGATTCTCAGTCCCTCTGAACATCCCTGGTGTCTGTTCTCCATAATGTAGGCATTAGACTACAGGATGGCTAGGGACTCTCTTACTGCCTGTTGCTGCTGATGCACTGGTCTAATAGGATTGGCAGGCTGGGAGCTTGCTAAGAGCTAGGCTTAGGGAGATAGTGTGCCCTCACTAAGTTGCAATAGTGTCATGGTTATGTCCAGAGAGCCCTAGTTTTGTCATACCCAAAAGGGCTTCCGATAGCACCTGAAGTGCCCTTAAGAATCTCAGTAACCAGGTCAGACCTGAAGAACCTGGAAGTAACATGAGATGAGGGCTGGGGCACCTAACAAGCTGCTTGTTCTGTCTGTCCTTCCACCCCCAGGCTGTCGTTCCCAGCTCTCACTGTCCTGTTCTTCATCTTCTATATCTTCTCCAATCTCCGTGTGGGAACAGGACCTCAGGTATCTTCCTTTACTGTAATACTCCTTGCGATGTAGATTAAGATGCTCCCTCGTGGTAGAGTCTGAAGCTGAAGGGAACTGGTTTCTGTAAGTAGCAGAATCTGAAAAATCATCCCAGACAGTTTGAGTCTGTGGCTATCTGCTGTGCCTATGAATCCTAGGTGTACATGGGGGCCACTACCAGATGGGAAAAATTTGAGTCCCAAGTTCTCATCTATCATCCCTCCTCCATCTTAGAAAACCTTCAGTGATTCTGCATTCCCTGTAAGTTCTCTCAAACTGCCTGTCATCTTTGGAGGTCACCCTGAGTGGAGACTCAACTCCAGTTGTCCCCTTTCTTCCCTGGAGTCACCTCCAACCACTGCCTCTCTTTCAGAAAACAGGACTGTAAGCCAATGCTCTGAAGAGAGCAGAATACAGTGGACAAGCAAAGAGCAGAGACAGAGAGAACAGATATGAAAAAAGCAAAGTACAAGGAGATCTGGACTCTGGAACAGCCTCTTGTCTACAATTGTCTTCACTCCCCTAAAGACCCTGTCACTAACCATTGGTGTCTAGGACATGGCTGTCAGTCACCAGGACAGCCTCATTTTTGCCTCCTGTGGCCAGTCTTCCTGCCCAGGCTTTGTCCAAAGGCCTGGGCTTCTGGTCCATCATCACACTTTGATTACTACCGCTGATGCTGGCACTAGCTCCATTGCTATCGTCCTCATTAGCCAAGAGCGGGTTTTTCTGGCTCTTCAGGAACTTCCCTTCACTGTAGTGTATCTTTCGTTGCTTGTCAAAATCACTGGAGTCTGTGGGCCAATGTGAAAGCATGGCTTTCCCTCCAGCCTTTCACAGAAGGGTCACTCCCACTCCACCTCCCCTTTCCATCAAGGCCCACCCCACATCTCACATACATGTCTTGGCAAAGTTGTCTGCAGTCCTTGAGCTTTTGTTGTCTCCATACTGGAGGACCTTGGGAAGGAAATTGTCCATTGTGGCAAACCTGAAGGGGAGGGAGACTAGTTGGGGGCACAGAAGGGAGAAAACAATGGGGGCAGGTGGTGGGTGGGGGCCAAGCTGGTGATTCCCCAGATCAGTTTTGGTTATGCCTGAGGGGGACTGTAGTATCTACCACTTTAGGGGCCACAGAACAAAGCTACCCGAGACTGGGTTCAGAGGTATGGGGCCGAGGGCACAGCTTTGTAGTAGGACTCTCACCTCTCTGCAAGTGATTCAGGGGTCACCTTGAGAGAAGACCCAGCAGACAGGTCCTCCTCGTCCTGCGGCCTGCAGAGGAGGAGGAAGCAATGCTAGAACCTGAGGCCTCTCTGCCTCTTCCTCATATTCCCTTGTTAGGATACAAGAGTCTAGGCTGAAAAGCCAGGGCTGAGGGCTTGGCACCTGTGGTAGGGGGTGCTGGGCTCATCCGCCTTCATGAAGCCATAGTCTTTGTCAGCAGGATGGTAAGTAGCCAAGATGTTCATCTCATCCCAGCGCTGAGACTTCCTAAGGTGAGGGAAGGACACAGCAAAGGAGGAAGCTCTTCTGATGACCCTCTCCTAACACAGGGGTCTCTTTCATTCTTCCAGGCATTCAAAACAACTCTTCTGATATTCCCTTGCAGCGGCTGGGATCGGAGTCAGATGCCCATTACAGTGTGGTGTGGCCTGGCTTTCTGTGACACCTGCCGCCCTCCCCAAGTCTTGAAAACCTCAGATCTCCCATCCAATTGCTCTCACCTACTGTACCCCACCACGGTCTCAGGACTCCGCCCCTCTTTTCTTGGTTCCGCCCAGGGTGTCCTGAACTCCTCCCTCCTATCTCAGGTTTGCTGGCTGCCGGTTAACAGCTGAGCTGCTTACTTCTCCCCACTGGAAGTTTTCTTCATCAAGATGGAACTGCTGTTTTTTAGGATGCTCCGGGGCCGCTCCTCAGAGTTTTGAGAGTGCAAGAAAGTTGAACCGGAGAGTGGACTGCTATCCGAGCTGTACCCTTTAGGCTCCCCAGGCCCAGGGGTGGGCGCCCTCATTACACCAGTTCCAGTGCCAGGAGATTTGCTGGACCCGAGGCTAGAGCCTGCAGCCTCTCCGAGTTGCGGACTGGGTCCGGAACTGGGGGTCACTACCCCTTCAGAGGGCCGGACTGGACCAGGACTGCGAATTACAGTGCCCCCGGAATGCAAAGGGGGGCCAGAACCGCGAAACAAGGCTACTCCGGAGGGCAGTGCGGTGTCTGTCTGTATACCTCTGACACCTCCTGGTACTGGCCTAGGAACCCCACGAGGGGATTCCGCCTTGAGGCCGCTAACAGATGCGAGAGACTCCGGCTTCTCCATGGCTCAAGCCGGGCAGTGACTTGAATTACTCTGCCCAGCAACCTCCCAGCTCTACATAGCCCCGCCCCTCGGCCCTGCCCCCACCGCGGTGGGCGGGGGGCGCTGGGGGCTCAGGGTCAGCCTGGCCCTCCTCCGCCTGCGCTCCCTGGCGCCGGGGCAGGTGAAAACAAGACTATAAAGAGACGTCAGCCTGGGAGCCGCAAGCTGCGCACGCCCTTCTCTAATTGTCACACCCAAAGACTTTCTTTGTCTCTGTAATTTGTTCCCGCCCTTCCTTCTGCGAACCAACCAATCACAGTCAAGGGGCCTGGCCAGGGACCAGAAGCCTTGTGACATCATAGCCCTCTGCGAGGTCCTCTGAGTGGGGTTGGGGTTCTGTGAGTAGCTCTCAGGTAGTCTCTTGGAGTTCTCGGCTCCGTTGCTCGACGTTACTTGTCGTGGTATCTCTAGGTTCTTTATTAGTAAGTTTAAAATCCAAGGGTCTCATCGAATCGGAGCTCAGGTTGGCCTTCTACTGTCCGCGGGCTCCCCCCACAGTCAGCTCGCTGAGCCTCAGGAGGTGCGACGCCAAGTGTGTGGGGCGGGGCGACGAGAGGCGGCGGACGGCAGGGACCGGAGAGGTGGGGTGCGTGGGTGGATTGCGACATTTCCGGTCCCCGTATTACGGAGGACTGAGACTTGGGTTTGTAAAGCTGCCTTTCCTCTGTCCCGAAGATAACGTTTGTATCGCCTTAAAGCGTGTAGTGTGAAGGGAATCCGTCGCTCCTTGTGTTAGAGCGAGTACTTCACTGCGTCTCTTTTTCCCGACATTCGCCGAGCGCTGTCGCAAAGGATCTGAGCGCCTTCGTCGCAAATACGCCTGCGGCGGGCGTTTCTTCCCTTCACTGTCGCAAAAGCTGCCCAAATCCTCCAGCCTCTCATAGCCGCCCTCATCCCGCTGTGCCGTAAAGCAAGTCCCTCCGACCCCGTCGTCCTTCCGTGCCCCTCGCGACAGACCGTGGTCCCTTAGCTGCGGACGGCTTCAGTGTGGGCAGTGCCGTAAAGCATATCTGGCCCCAG